ATTTTAACGGATGATCCGGATCCTTTGGAAGGCCATTCCGTGGTCCCTATGGTCAATTTTCCGAACACAACTCCCAATTCATAATGATATAACGTCAATAAGCTGTTTTGAAAAAAATTGGATCAGTTTCATGAATTGAACACTTTTACGGATGTTCCGGATCTTCCGGTGAACCAATCCGTGTTTTCTACGATTAATATTCCGGTCACAACTCATAACATTCTAATAGGACGTCTTTAAGAGATTTCGAAAAAACCGCGGAGCTCTAGGATCAGTTTCATGGATTTACCACTTTTAAGGATGTTCCGAATCTGCCGGAGGACCATAACGTGGTCCCCAGGCTGCTTCATATTACAGTCACAACTCCAAATTCATTCTAAATAGTCGTCAATGAGAGGTTTCGAAAAATCTGCTGAGCTCTAGGATCAGATACATGAATTAACCACTTTAACGGATGTTCCGGATCTTCCGGTGGACCATCCCGTGGTATCCAGTGTCCATATTCCACTCACAATTTCAAATTCGTTCTGATAACATGTCTAAGAGTGATTTCGAAAAATCCGCTGAGCTCTAGGATCAGATTCATGAATTGACCACTTTTACGGATGTTCCAGATCTTCCGGTGGACTATCCCGTGGTCCCCAGGGTTCATATTACAGTCACAACTCCAAATTCATTCTAAATAGTCGTCAATGAAAGGTTTCGAAAAATCTGCTGAGCTCTAAGATCAGATTCATGAATTGACCACTTTTACGGATGTTCCGGATCTTCCGGTGGACCATCCCGTGGTCTCCAGTATCCATATTCCAGTCACAATTTCGAATTCATTCTGATAAGTTGTCTAGGAGTGGTTTCGAAAAAACCGCGGAGCTCTAGGATCAGATTCATGAATTGACCACTTTTACGGATGTTCCGGATCTTCCGGTGGACCATCCCGTGGTCCTCTGGGTTCATATTCAAGCCACAACTCCGAATTCATTCTGATAAAACGTCTATGAGCGGTTTCGAAAAAACCGCGGAGCTCTAGGATTAGTTTCATGAATTGACCACTTTTACAGATGTTCCGGGTCTTCCACAGGACCAGACTTGTGACTTTCCGGATGCTAAATGTTCCCAAAAGGTGGCAAATATTCTGTTTAATAACTGTTCAGAAGACACCAGGAAGTTATCTCTTCAAATTACCCTACAATCAGTGTTTGGTCCCAATTAGGTCAAATCCTATATGCTACGTGTATTTGTTAATGCCGGATCCTATAGTGCGGTCCCTATTAACCGTACTATAGGAATCTTGACTGTACCTTTAACTCCAAAATGCCAAAAAAAAAGCCTTCAAACTGCATGATTACCTGAAACCCAAATTTATGATGGAAGTAAGTATTTCGCCAAAATGCCAAAATGGCCAAATATAATAATCAAACCGATTAATTGTAAGTAAGTAAGTTTTCTTATACATATGTGTCCTTCCGATTACGTGCGCTATGCTACGCAGTATCTTCTAAATTTTCCATAATACAATTAATTTGAATGGAATTTAAAATACTAAAAATAAAAGTTTGGAATCATCGTCAGAATATTCTTAGATTTATATTTAGGATGTTTTATTAAAATTCAATTCAAGATTCAATCCAATTTCTCTTGAATTTTCTTTGAAACTAACTTGGACATCATTCCAGGACTTAAAATTTACCAGTAATTAGGTGGTCCTCAGAATAACCTTTTAGGCTATCCTTGAATTTCACTTAAAGTTCTTCTCACAATTACTTTGAAGTCCTCAGAACTAAAGGCTGAATTCGATGAAACTGGCACACACATAAACAGCTGTAACTTTTTAGCTGTTATACCAAATTATTTTTTGAAGGTCTGAGAGGTGTTTTCTCTCGTGTAGTAGTCATGAGAACAATATCAGGCATAACATTTGATAACGGCACAAAAGCATTTGTAAACAAACTTTCTAAGGCCCTCTACACGCGAACCGAAGTACGCTCACGCAAACCAACATTATCATCGGATAGGGGCAACTCTCACCTTTCCGTTAGTGGTATTGGTTTGCGTGGGTGTACTTTGGTTCGCGTGTAAAGGGCCTTAGAAAGTTTGTTTACAAATGCTTTTGTGCCGCTATCAAATGTTATGCCTGATATGGTCTTTCGTCATGGTTGCTATTGACCTTTGGATCCAAACCAATTTTTTCACTAAACATTATAATTTAAAATATTTTGCAGTTGGTCAAAAGTTACACCTCAAATTTTCGGCTAAGCAAATCTAAATACGCAATTCTTTTACGCAAAAAAAAACAGTGTTTTCTATTACCTATCATCGATCTTTAAAGATCAATAACCCGTTAATTTAAAATTTTTAAGTTATTCAGAATAATATTTAAAAAGCTAGAGCTGTTTATGTATGTGACCTTTTTATCGAATACACCCTTTAATGCGAAGTTAACCGCTACGAAAATAAAAATAAATGTTTAGCTTTTTAACTCATCGTTTGGACTTAGACCCTTTGCGCCACCTCTAAATTTCAACGGAAAAAGCTCAATTTTTGTTTTTTAATTAGTCCCAATAGGGTCAACTACCCCATTTTCGGCCTATTAAGCACAACCCGCACTTAGACTTCCTTAATCTAGCGCAGTTTAGCACCAAACGGAATGTTATTATTACTGATGACTTCCAAATTTATTTACCTTTCCGTATGTACCTTAAGATTTGATAAAGAGAAACCAATCGTTGAGATATTTTCAAAAGTCTAACACTGCTTCTTGACGACAAACTTGGCCTACGGATTCTAAACTCGGCCTAACGCATTGAAACGCCATTGAAACGCCAATGAATTCACTTCGGCCTATCGGATAAAGATAAAACATGATTCGGTCGGAGCGCTTCTTTTGTTTTTGGGAATAATGGGTGCAAACCTTCATATCTCGCGTTCTCATTGACTCAAGTAGCGTACCAAACGCATAGTTGGCTTGTTAACTCTTAAATCATGCATTTAATTGAAGTTTTCTGCTCCATAGGCCCAAAATGGGCGATTAGGCCGAAGTAGTTCTCTACCCTAATCATTTTCCACATGGGAAAACATGTCCCCGAACGATTTTGAAAAATAAACCCCACAACCCTGACAACCGTCGAGCAGTGGCATCCACCGGGAACCTACCATTCATCCACCGCCGAGTAACCCCACCCGCTGCAGAATCCATTCATCGCCAGCCAGCATTGTACACACACACCCACCCAAAAGTGCATATACGATGTGTTGTTCTTCTGATTAGTTTCAACAAGCCAGGAGTCGACCTTGAAGTTCTAAGGTTTCGAGCTCGAGCTAGCCAACAAAAGAGCTGAGTGTAGCACACCCAAGATGATCTCCGTGGCTAGACCAGAGACCAGAGGGAATTTCTTTAGACTAGCTCATTTGGCAAGCCATTAACAATATTGCAACCCGATTTTTCTCATTTTCTATCAAATTTTAGATAAAGTACCCGTTCGAGTCTAGCACGGTTCGATTTTGGCAACAAAACCACAAAAAATTTCGTTTTTGACACGGGGTTCGATTTTGGCACCATGCTCCTTGAGGTTACAATTTTTAATAAAATATTCATTATTAACATCGTCTATGTCATAAACATGACTCACGGTGGTCCAAAATCAACAAAGTCATAAATTAAATAAAAAAATAAAACCATGCCAAAGGTTCGATTTTGGCACCACTAAATTTTCGGGCTTATTTGCCAAAATCGAACGGGTGCTTTACGTCCTTTTGAAGAACTATGCTTGTTTAAACAATATTTTAACTATCCCGTAGCATATTCGTATCGTTACTAATAATTTCAAAAATCTTCCACTACCTAGCAACGGATCCAACGCTCTCCACACATCATCTCATCATCTCAGCAATTGCAATCTCCTAAAACCAAATAAGGATCTCGTCGTCCTTCGGAACCACACACATAATATCCTAGCCGCCACCACGTACCCCTCACCTTCCACCAATATCCCTCTTATATTTTTTGACACGCAAGCTGTAAATAGCCTCCAGAATGAATCACTTCCCATTCTCGAAAGAACTCCGTCATCATCGTCATCATCCCCGTAAAGTGACGACGTGTATGCTCTGTCCTCCCCCCGGATGAAAATCCTCCGTATATTCTTAACGCTGACGGTCCTCGGCGCATTTATGATTTTCCAAACGGCTTGCGGAGAGCGCGCGCGAGACGGAGACAGCCGTTCCACTATCGCTCAAGCTTTGCGGGAGCAGGAGCGAAAGAGCTGCTCTGCTCTGCTCTTCAGTGCACACGGTGCACATAATTTTCTGTGGTTTCGCTTTTGTATTCTTTGGCTGTCACCATCATCATCGTCGAGCCCCGCCACCATCGTCGTCATTGACACTCTCTTCCTTGCGCTGTTGAAAACTCGTTTGAGGTTTGTCAGCTACGAGAACTCACCCATACAGCCGAAAGTGCGGGGCGATCGCTCGGTGGGATGGGTTTAGGTGAGAGCCTTGCCCACTCACTTCCAGTGAGTGCCGCTGGCGAGCGACGAGCGCCCTGCGGTGGGAGGCGAATGAGTGGGTGAAGGCAAACATGAAAACAAAATGGTAGCACCGTGTGCTGCACTCCGCCACTCACGAGCAGCGCTGAGCGATACGATCTGTTGTTTGCGATTTTGTTTTGTGCGCTCATTCGTCGTCGCACGCATACCATCACATTGGCGAAGAGAAGCAGCGTGCTCGATTGTGAGAGAGAGGTGACTGCAAAGCAACTGGTTGCTGTTCGCGGAGGCGGGGCTTAGCAATCTAAACTGGTTCTTGTTTTGCTATGGATTGCTTCATTATCGCTGCATTCGTAGAGCTGGTGGAGTCACAGAACCGGCTCAGTTCTCTTTTGATCTTTTGCTTCGTTGCGTGCGGTGTGCGGTGCGACTTCCACTGTATTGGTCGTGTGATCGGTGTGGAAAGAGGGCAGGCAAAGACAGCAACAGCAACAGCAACGAGAGGCCAATGTGTGGTCGTCCAAACTGGTTGGCAGGCAGTTCGACCGATAGTTGAAGTTTAGTTTCGTACTGTTCGCCTGAAGGCTCGTACACATCGGTGTCGCTTTTTGTTGTGTATCGGTGAAAGGAAAGAGAGTTTTTAAGTTGTTCTCACAGCAAACAACAACAAGAGCCGGGGTTTGAGTTTTCTCCTAGTGCTGTTGGAGGTTCTTTTCTTTTTGCAAGGGCCGTCGTGCATTTTGCGTGTTGACAGTGAGCGAGTAAAGAAGGCTAAAAGCACAAATTTGCGTGTTCGGGTGCATTTAGCGATTCGACCGTCGGTACTTGGGTGAATTTGCTTGGAACAGAAAGTGGTGGTGCATTTATGATATGGTGCAGGATTCTCGGTAAAATTTGAACAGATCGGTTTGGTTTGAACGGCGCCGTGTTAGTTTGAGTTCGGTTTGCGTTTCTTCTGTGCGTGGTGAAATATTGCAAAATTTTCAAAATTGAGAGAATAAAACGGAAACGTGAATCCTCTAGTGAGTTAAGTGGTAGTAGCGGTAGTAGTAGTAGCAACAGTTGCAGCAACATTACGGGTAGTAGCAGCTTTGCGACGAATACGGCACTAGCGTCGGCTGCGTCGGCGATTGCAGCAGCAGAAGCTCACCACCGAAGGAAGCAGCTGGCTCATCACGAAAGGATGTTGCTCGACACGCAGAACAATAACAATAATAACAATAACGGCAGTGGCACCAGCATGACCGCCAACAGTAGGAACGTGGCCGCGTCGGCCGCGGCCCTACAGGCGGCAGCTGCGGCCGCCCTGACGGCGGCCAAGGGTGCTACGGACTTCTCGATCGCGGCAATCATGGCACTGCGGGAGGGCTCCGCAAGCCGGAGCCCTCTGGAAGCAGTTTTCGTAAGTGGCAAGTTTGTTTTCGATTCCCTTATTACGGTGGCATAGTTGGTAAGGTGTAATTGGTGTGTAGGGTGGGATTTGGGACATCGGGTGGAGTTTTCTGGGATTATCTGTTTGAATGATTCCATATTAAAATATTGTCAACTGTTATGTTTCTCCGTATTTGACATTATTACGTCCGAACAGGGACTTCACGCCAGTTCTTTGAGAACATTGACAGTTATAATTTGAGTATCTGTTCCATAAGGTCGTGACCCACAAGTACAATCTTACTCTATGTCCAGGAGAGTCGAGCAATTTTTCACCCTGAAAATATCCTAGACTGAGCTAAGGGAGACCCAAACTGTTATGTTTAGTGAATGTAATTATGCAAAGATGTCATACAAAAAATCAATCTGGGGGTTCATAGAGCTTGCGAATTCAACTAGGGCCACCCATAGCCCTATTCTCGCTGCATTGAGCCATAGTGAACCTGATCCATTACATTTATACGAGGTGCTTGGGCAGTCCTTCAAAGTATTTATTCCCAGCTTAAGTTTTATATTGTTGAGTGAAATATTTGATTATGACTATTTAATCATAGAATTTATCATTTGCATGGTAGCTTTGATCAATAGAGCAAATACAAGATGATCAATCGTGTGGGTTTAATCGGTGTACCCTGAGATTTTTATTCATTGTTTTTTGTTTGTGCTAGTATTGAAAAAATATGTGATTTGGATTCTGAAAAGTTTATAGGGCTTAGCACTTCACGGATATAAATCTATTTTTATTATCAACTGCCCTATTTAATCCTCCCAAATAATCTAGCTTAACTTACCAGTTAGCATCAGATCGATCAGTTTTATAAGGGGAGATTTCCAACCATATTTTGGAAAACTGCATTTTAGATTTCAAAACGCAAGTTTTGACTCAAATCTACCGAAATTGATGAAGTGGAAGTGGATTAAGATAACAGTCAGTATCGACTCGAAAACTTTCTTTAAAAAATAATGCCTCCTGTGTAGGCACTTCGCATTTTCAGAGGCACACATTACTTCATCAAGAATGCTGTGCTGATCTGAAAGTTTTAACGCGATGCTTGCACAATGAATTCAGATCGCAGAAGTTGGGTTTCTGAACTGCTGAAAAAGTCGTAAAAATGTCAAATGGTATTTGTTTTTTTTTTTTTTTTTTTAATTATCCACAGATTTTTAAAACTTTACCGATCAGCTCCGTAGTTTAAAAAATATCGAACAGAAAATGCCTGGATTAATGTGTGCTTTCCAAACACTGGGTAACATTTTCAGCTACGTACATCAAGTAGATCGCCAGATCGTCTTCGCCTGCCACCCTGCGTTTTTAATTTTTGCCGGTACAATAGACTTCTCTGACGTTTGTGAAATGCACAAGTATTAGTGCAGAACTCGGGGTAAATTATAAGTATTAGTGCAAGAAAACCTTTGAATTTACCCAAAGTTCTGTACTAATACTTGAGCAATTCACAAACGTCAGAGAAGTCTATTACAACCGTTATTTACGTGACGGGTACCCAGTTCTCATTTTAATAACACGGTGTTGAAAAACACATAAGGGTTAAATTTATAAATTCTTTGTTGATTATTGATAATTGACTATGGTCATCTTTGAATACTTTTGTTTGGACGATCAACTGTCCTGATCGAATGATATGAAATTCGAAATAAAATTATTTTACTTAAAAGGCAATAACCAATAAGACCGTTGACTCGTCTGTTGACTTTACATGTAGCGGTGATATATGGCTAATGTATAGCTGACAAGCTGTTTATTAACCGTACACGCTATTTTGAGGCTACTTAGGGACAGTGATAGATCGCACCCATTTTTGTATACTGCATGGATTTGCATAAAAATTAGTAAACTGGTTTTGCTCCGATGGGTGAAATGATTCTGATATAAATTTTCCCTAAGTTCAAAATGGCGCACTTTGAAGTTGTGAACAGGCGATTCTTGCGCAGTGAGTCAAAAATAGGTTTTTTTTTAATTGAAGCAGTGAAAATGGAGCAGCTATCCTGGATGTAAAAAGCTATCAGTAGTTAAATACAGAATTATCATTTTCATATTGTGTTTTTTTTTAATATTCTTCCTGGACGAAATAAGTTATATATAAAGCATTCAATAAGGCCTTTGGCTATATATGTAGTGGTGATATATGGCTAATGTATAGCTGACAAGCTTTCTATTAGCCGTATGTAAGCTTTTTAAAGCAAATGCGCTTCTTCTGTAGTTTTCATCTCAATGATTAATTCAGTTTAAAGGGGGGTTTTTTTGATTGTTGGATGCTTAGAAGTTCTTCAAACATCGCCTAACATCGCCTAATTTTGGGAGACCTAATAGAAAGATAGATTGATAAACGGGCATCCTGAAGAAAAGCTGCGTGAAATTCTTTTGTGAGAACATCTTGTTGAGACCATGATTAAGACTTATAGAAAGCTTTATAACCTCCATAAAACTTGAAATGTTACTTGTCTGCAGTCAATATAGTTTATATGTTTTCCTGTAATTATCGTAAATAATAGTTATTCAATAATAGATAATTCAGCCATATATAAGAGTAAACTCGATCATTCGAGCGAGACCCTTCCTTTTTGTTTGTTTCGATTTTATATTAAACAGGATATGAATTAAAATTTAGGAGCTCGGAGTAGAAAATCGTGGGTTTATTCCCAAGCTCCTAAAAAAAAAAAAAGTACTATGGTCGCATCGCCTGCTTAAGCGAATCCTGACCCATCTCCTACCAAACTATCCAAATCCGTAGCATCTATGGAGGCGTTGGTGAGTCGCTGGCCTTCCGTTAAGTACATGTTGCATCAACAATATCCTTCCTTTCCCCGTAACGGAAAAGATGGGTGTGGCCGGCAGTGGTAATGGTCATGCTTTTCCTATTCTGAATTCTTATTGGAGAGCTATTCATTCCCAAATAGTTTTCCTTATGCAACTAAAGTAAGTAAGTTGTCAGTATGCAACCTACGAATTACTCCGTTACAAACGCAACGCATTTCCTAACATGGGGATATTTATTACATTGAAGATCGGAGTTTTAAGCTTTCTCAGAGCTGGTCACAAAGTCGCTTGGAAAAATTATTTTATGTCAAGGTTAAAAAATTACTTGAATGACATTTCTTCGAGAACTCAAGCAATATTGATAATTTATAATTAATGATGAGCAATGATTAATCAAACTTTATTTATATTATTGATCGTAAAGTTTTCCATTTTCATTAGGCTTTAAGGTAGTTAGGTATTGTAATATGAGGAGTTTGTTGGAAATGCTATCTAACATGAAGCTGTAGTATGATAATTTATTAGCTAGAGAATGGTCTTTAAAAGAGGGTAGGTAGATAGTTCCGTTAGAGTACGGAAGTATGAAAATTGAATAGAAGTTGAAAATGAGCGAAGGGCCATTAATGCGACTGTACAAAGTCAAACGCACACCTTTTGCCTAACCCGTACGATGTACGCGGAGATTTGAAGTATGTCTTCAAATCTGCAGACAAAAAGTGTGCCCCCGCCTTTGCTCATTACTGTCTGCGGCTGTGGAATATTTCTAGCGACGTTATGGGGTTTCAACCCGTTTCATTCCCCTTTTTTAAATTCGCAAACCCTTCTTCCCCCTTAGATGTAGAAGCTCATATCGATCGAACACCCTATACAAAATTTGAATTCTTGAACTGTTTTATCAGACAGTTCAGTTTTTCCATGGAGTTCAAGAAAATATTTCACGTCAACTTTTAGTTCGAAACATCTATCCGTAACATTTGATAAGTTGTATGATAAAGAAGCCTTTGATGCGTTTGGCACAAAGTTGCCTGCAAAGTCTCGAATTCAATGCACTTGATTTTACTAAATTCACGATTTTAACCATTGCATAAAAAACGACACCCAAAGATTTTGGTAGTGTTTTAGAAGCAAGTGCTTGTCGGTGAATCATGCAAAGAGTCTCTGTTACTTTCGGATTCAGTTTCTTCACCATTGTTTGGAATCCTGATTTGCTTCCTAACATTGCTGGTGCACAATCGGTACAGGAACCACAAACACTGTCCCAGGAAAGTTAATTAGAATCATAAAACGAGCCATCTTTGGCCAAAATATCAACTCCTTTCGTTGTTGTTTCGAGAGCCGAACAAAACAGGAATTCCTTCTTGATAGTTCCGGCATTAACTTGGTTTTTGATATCCACGGACATATCACTTTATCACTTATTCGTCGCTGGACAGTGTTATATTACAGCCACAAACTTTTTCTCCAGGTCATTCGCGAGTACTATTTCCACCATCTTCACTGCACAAGTTTAACCAAATTGTGTTATCCATCTTCATCTTTTTGAGATTCCTCTCACTGCGTTCGAGGAAATCCACACCTCTATCGGAATGTTGTGGATGCAAGTTCTGGAGATTTTGTTTCAACTTGCCGGGTCTCAAGGAATAGTTGGCCAGAACCTAAGGTCTCTCTTCGCCATTCACAGTTATGGATGTGAAGCCAAACTGGAGATATGAACGATCGAATTTTCTCTTCTTATATCCCATGGCAATATTCTGCAACTAACAACACAATAATCACAGTCAAGGTTTGATTATCTTAAATGTGTGACAACTGGAATCAACCTTCTCTCTGGAATAGTTAACAAATATCTCTTAGAAATAACACGGAAAAATTAAAACGGGTGTAAAGTTAAGTCAAAACATCGTTGATGCTTTCTTGTTGATGCACGCTGATGAAGAAACTGACCGAGAGTGCCGAGAAAGACCGAGATAAAGAAAAGACTCTGAACTGACATTTGCATGCCAATGAAGCAAAACTAATGCTTGTTAAAATGCTGCATAGGATACTTTTGTGTTGAATCATGAAGTACTGAAACGATTCAGCTGTAAAAATTTCTATGAAGTTTTAGTCAATAATTATAATAACATGTTATATTCCTTCACGCATAATTCTACCCTAAGATGACCAAATTCCCCCTAGGGGGAATTCTTCCCAGTTGAAAAC